GTTCTCTATTTCACTTATATTCTCCAAACCACACATATTTTTTCGCACCATTTTTATATTATCTGCGAAGCGTGCGACTCGCGGGATACTCGGATGTTTGCGCGAGCAAGTAGATCGAGTCCGAAAGAGCTCGCGAGAAAGGAAAAGTCGGCGTGATAATCGCGACCGCGATAATCAACGTGCCTGTCGACGGTGCATTAATGCACGCTGTAAAATCGAATCGGTTTTACAGCGACCCACGCTGAATCGCCGACCCAGTTCGACATCCGAGAACCAGACGAATCGCGACGAATAAGAGGAAAAAAGACACACACACACACACACAGAGAGAGAGAAACAAGTCGGCTGTCGCTTCGCGCGCGGATAGAAAGCACCGGCGGTGGTCGGTCGTCGATCGCGCTTTCCTTCTTACGACCGATTACGCGCGAAAAGACGTCAGGGTTCAGCGAACGACGTCAATACGCGTGTACGTGTGCACGCCTACGCGCTTCCCGCGCCGCGATCGAGCGTGTATCCGGCACTTCCTTCGCGCCGCGGCGGAAACGCGCGGAGGAAGCCGACGTGTAACCGTGTATCGGGAGGCTGGAGATTTATTTCCCTCCTCGCGCCCCGTGCGCCTCGCGCGCGAAAGAGCAAGTGTGAAAACGACGTTACATGCATTAATTCGCACGCATCCGCGCTGCTCCTTTTATCCGCGTCACGCGAAATAATTCCACCTGGATTCACTCCGGGAAAGAGCCGTGAGAATGCGCGTAATATCGATCCCGGCGGGAAATCTCCGCGGTCCTTCCGCTTTTCTATTACGTTTTCCCTCCGTCGGAATTTAACCCTTTCGCGACCGAGTTACTTCTTCGTCTCTCTTTTTTTTTAATGGGACACGCTAGCGTCCGAAGGAGCTGACATTGCCAGAAAAAAACAACGCGACTTTTCTTCTCTCTCTCGAGCTCTTTCAGACTCACCCCAGTTTTCACTAACGTCGTTTAACTTTGATTTTAAGCCAACTTGACTTTAGTTTAATCCACCCTCTGTCTCTTTCCAAGGAGAAACAGTTAGAAAGAAAAAAAAGAGAATGAATTAAACTAAAATCAAAGTTCAGGGGTCAATTTGCTCGCGGAAACATCTGAAGGTCTCGCAAGTCACATTTCAGTCAGATAATATAAAAATATTTCGAAAATATAGTTTTGAGAATTTAAGTGAGAAACAGAGAGCTAGAGCAGTGTCACGTATTACCCTAAAAAAAAAGAAGATTTAAATCCTTATATGTACATTGTAATAAATATGAAAGGGTTAAAATAACAATCGACGCCGATCTAACTCCTGTTCTTCGCACGCTCGTCTCCTTCTCTCGCCAAGTATACGATCTCTTATCTCTTATCTCTGCGTCTAAAACTCAACTGTGTCGATCATATCAACGTGATTTTGAAAGGCAGGATGCTAAGAGATGGTATAATTTGACAATGCGCGCGCGAAAGCGTGCACGAATCGGCGGACCGCGAGATACGAGAACGAGAGAGAGACACGGGGAATTTCCCTGCGGTGAGAGAACATTAAATACCGAAGGTAACACCTCTTACTCCCGTATGTATAAAATGTGTAGCACAACGTGTACTCGATCGTGTATGTACGTGCCGCTACATTAATCGCCCGAGTCCGCGGCGCGTTCCGTTTCGATTTCTACCTTGGAATTCGCGGCCGGCTTCCCGATATTCAAATTCACGCCCGGTATCTCGCGCCGCGATGTCAACGGCGAGCGGGTAGTAAAAAATCGCGACGGCGATACGTTATCCGCGATCAGTTCCGCTTGTAATTACATCGGGAGCACTTTCGCGGTTCGCGCCAAGTGCGCTCGAGGTCGGAGACTCCGTCGTCGCGTCGCCTCCGCGCGGGAAAGGTGACGCGAGTAAAAAAAAAAAGTAGCCATTTCACGGGAGAACTTTAAGCTCTCGATCTGCCGTGGTCCGCTTTCAGGTTGCTGTTATCCGCGTTTCCTTCTCTTGCCTCGATAGATCTTTCCCCATTGCGATCTTTATAATGCGAGATGCATTTTTCTCTCTTGTATACGTTCCCTCCCCTTACCACGCGGAAAAAAAGGATATTCTTCTTTTGGAAATATGTTTATGTTTCAACCGAGGGGGGAAACCGCTGAGGGCATTGTGGTGTAGGGACTG